CACGTCGGTAATGCCACGATGGAATGCTTGGGAGGGGATCGATCTCCCTCTCCCATTGTAATCGCAAGGGATTTGCTGGTTTTTTTTTTTTGTTAAATGGGACATATAGAGAAAGGTCCATAGGATGTGCTGCCACGTCGGTAACGCCACGATGGAATGCTGGGGTGGGGATCGATCTCCCTATCCCCATTGTAATCGCAAGGGATGTGCTGTTTTTTTATTTTCGAAAAACGGGAAAAAGGTTCATAGGTCCATAGAATGTGCTGCCACGTCCGTAATGCCACGATGGAATGTTGAGGAGTGGATCGAACGCCCTCTCCCCATTATAATCGCAATGGATTTGCTGGTTTTTTTTTTTCGAAAAATGAGAAAAAGGTCCATAGGTCCATAGGATGTGCTGCCACGTCGGCAATGCCACGATGGAATGCTGCTGAAGGGGATAAATCTTCCATCTCCCCACTTTATGCTTTCTGATTGGTGAGGAGAGTAGGTGGAAGCGAATATCCCCCCATATTTTTTAATCGATTTTCTCTGTCCCCACTTTATGCTTGCTGATTGGTGGGGAGAATGGGTGGGAGGAGAGTAATGCCACGTAGGAAGGGAGATAGCACTGTGGGAGGGGGCTTCCGACAGGCACGCAGGAGGCAAGAGGCGGGGTGGGAGATAGCGTTTATGAAATGTTGAACCCCCGCCTACCGGTCGTGTTTTTCCGCAGGGATCCAGCGTTTTGCAAACGCTGGACCCCCACCCACCGGCCGTGCTTTTGGAGGGGTCCAGCGTTTGACAAACGTTGGACCCCCACGAACAAGACGGCCGGTGGGCGGGGGTCCAGTGTTTGTCAAACGCTGGACCCCCGCCTACCGGCCTTGCTCTTTGGCGGGGTCTAGCGTTTTGTCGAACGCTGGACACCCGCCTACCGGCCGTGCTTTTGGCAAGGGTCCAGCGCTTGACAAACGCTGGACCCCCGCCCACCGGCCGTGCTTTTGGAAGGCTCCAACGTCTATCAAACGCTGGACCTCCATGAATAGCACGGCCGGTGGGCGGGGGTCCAACGTTTGACAAACGCAGGACCCCCGCCTACCGGCCTTGCTCTTTCGCGGTGGTCCAGCGTTTGTCGAACGCTGGACCCCCGCCTACCGGCCGTGTTTTTGGAGGGGTCCAGCGTTTGTCAAACGGTGGACCCCCACCAATAGCACGGCCTGTGGGCGGGGGTCCAGCGTTTGTCCGAGTCAAACGCTGGACAAACGCTGGACCCCCGCCAAAAGTACGGCCGGTAGGCCTGCGACTCTGTCGTTTGTCAAACGCTGGACCCCCGCCTACCGGCCGTGCTTTTGGGGGGGGTCCAGCGTTTGACAAACGCTGGACCCCGCCCACCGGCCGACGCTGGACCCATGACTGCCGGTAGAGACAGACGCGGGGTGTCAAACGGCCGGTGGGCGGGGGTCCAGCGTTACGCTGGACCCCTGCCTGCCGGCCGGGTTGAGGGCTGGGGTACAACGTTTGTAAAACGTCGGACACCCACCAATATTGTTCGACCATCGGTAGGCGGGGGTCCAGCGTTTCACAAACGCAAGACCCCGCATACCGGCTTGTGCAAGGCGGGGGTCCAGCGTTCTACAAACGCTCAACTCCCGTCAATGGCTCGGCCGGTGCGCAGGGGGTTCAACGTTTTTGAAACGCAGGGGGGTCCAGCGTCCTACAAACGCTGGACCCATGACTGTCGGCAGCAACAGACACGGGGTGTCCAGCGTTGGGAAAACGCTGCCCCCCCCCCCCCCCCGTTGGCAGTTGGTGCGGTGCTGAGATAGATGACATTAATGCATCCCTCGTCCTTTTTTTTATGGATATCTCATCCAGGGAGAGGTCGTAAGAGTCCGAATGATGCGGATAAGAGGTACAACAACAGATCAAAACTGTATCGCGACAAGCTGTGGGCTCTCGACTGGGTCGGAGTGACCGGCGAGCCCGGGTGCAGTGCTGCTGTGTTTTTTACGGAGGACGAAGAGGCGATCTGGTACTGTTGTGGTGGCATCATCAGGTCTGAAATTGACAAGGCCACAATGGAAAAGCGCAAGGTCGACGAGCGAGACTTAAGGAAGTTCTTCCTCACTCCAGTATACGATGAACAGGGTACCGACTGGGTCAAGACAGACCACAAGGTCAGCCTCTATCTTGCTCTGTTCAAGGGGTATGGTTAGAAGGCATTCGCTAAGAAAGCCTTCACCGGCAAGCAAGATGGGAATGCGTTTAGGATGCTCTTACCCATTGAATTCCTCCGCAAGACCAACGGGTACAGGAAAAGTGGTCAATTCCCGACGGTCACCGCTGGTTACCAGCTCACGTTACCTCTTGTCCCGTTCGATGCTCCTGTCGAGAGCCTCGCAGGATTATCAATGTGCTTTAGCGATCGGCGACAGGTTGTGTTGACACCGCAACAGCCTCTCAGCGGGAAGGAGAAAGTCATTACTTACCAGAGGCGTTCGAGCGGTCGGTCATCGGGAAACCTTCCGAAGAAGAAGGGGCTCGCTAGACCTCCTTCGGATTTTCCTGGAAGCTCTCGTGCTCGTGCCAGCTCGCGCTCGCGGGACACCGCTCAACGTGGAATGGACGAGGAGTCGGACGAAGACGAATGGGTTCGCCAATTACATTCACGGTTGTTAGCGACACCTGGGTACATCCGGGGTGAAGGCTCTTTCGATGTGAATGTGGGGCGGGAAGCTGGTGGAGGTGTCAATGGAGAATACGACGAGGATGAAGGGGAGTGTGGTAGTGGCGAGCGCCGAGAACAGGTTGGAGGAGCGGTGGACCATATGGAGTGGGAAAAGGTTGCGGCGAGCGGTGGGGTGGGCGGTGGCAGTGTGGGTGGTTCAGAAATGGAAGACGAGGAATTGGAAGACGAAGGAGGAGATGCCTGTGTTTCCGCGGGGCTTACTTCCAAGGGAACAGGAACATGCACAGCGCAATCATCGCCGACGCAAGCTGCGCCTAAGAAGCAGGCTTGAAGGAAAGCTGTGGATGAAGCTCGGGTCACCTTGGATGCATCTCAAGGGACGCTTGGTGAAGTCGATGTGAAATGCAAATCAAGAGTTCGGATTCGCAAAACGTCACAACCCAAGAAGCCCGTGCGGCCATCAAGGCGCCAGAAATCGAACGACTCTAGCGACAACGCTGAAGGGGTGGCCCCTCGCTTGCTCTCCCTCCCTGACAACAACGAGCATGAGATGAAGAAACCCAGTGCGGTCAACATGACGCAGTGCTTCTTCCTTGAGTACGACGAGGACGGTAAAAAGAGAAAAGACTTGCCGAGGGTGGTGATTGACGTCATGCAGATTCTTCGAATTCCGGTGGGAGATATCACCTTCAACCAACGATCGCTGAACATGGCCATCGTTGCAGGCATCGATGCGGCAATCGAGGCATCAACTCGTCCAAGGTCCGAGGATGATCCGGCTCCGTGGGATCCACTGGAGTTGGTGCTGGCTCCGATTACGCCGTCGCAGGACGCGAACAGCCAAGGGATACGTGTCCTTCCACAGGACTTCGATCCCGATAGGGCAGACGAGTTTTTCTATTACCCGGTTGCCGGTCAACATACTTCCGAAGTTATGAAAAGAGTAGTGACAAGGAATTCTGCAGCAGTTGAGGTGTTCGGCTTTCGGAATTATGATCGTATACGGATCATTTATTTTGACGACGACCACACGAACGGGTACACGTATGTTTCGACATACGACAACACGAGAGCTGACCGTTTTATGTTGTCGTCGTTCCACCAAGCCTGCGAGGACATCAGAGGATTTTGGGACTCGAAGAAACGGATCGGGCTTGTGGGGAACGTGTCCAAAGGAGATCCCACTGGTGTGACGCACCAGGAAGAGTGGAGGAATTTTATGAGACTTTGCATGGGGAAGTCATGTGACAAATCACTGTGGACCGAGTGTTTGGCTCCGAAGTGGGACTTAACGAACAGAATGAGGGGATACATGAATGTCGCCACATGCAAGGACTGGATATGGACATTGGTAAAATAGTTTTTTCATAAGTTCGAGGCGGGGGAGTTGCCGCTACACGACAACAAATACCCAAAGGATTTGTCGGGGAAGCAGGAGGGGCGGGTGCCGGGCCAATTCACTGAAGAGGTGCAGCGGAAGAAGGAGGTGTTCCATTGCATACCGGCTAGGGACGGGGGACCAAACGCTACGGTGTCCTTCAAAGATCTCATTCCGTCAAACTTCAAATGTTTTGGAGATATGACGGCACGAGAGAAGGAAATTGCATTGTGGTTGATGATAAACAAGAAAGTCATCGCCACTACTAGACTGGTTCCTCTTGGGAAGTTGGACATGACCAACCTCCTCGACATCATAATGCGCAAGAGATACATGATGCGTTTGTTCAACTACATCGTCTTCAAATCGGAGAACAGAGAGCTGAAAGAATGGACGGACGGGAACTTCTTCAACTATGAAAAAGTGGAGGAAAGGTTTGGTGTGACGGCAGCCGAATGGGATGAGAAAAGGGATAGGATCCCTTTGGAGTACGTCTGGAGGGTTCCAAAAAGACTCGGCGGAGAGCAAGAGGAAAAAAACCTGAAACGAGCTGGCCTGAAGGCCACGGAGGCGTTGTACAGGGACGCGCCTTTCCACTTCAAGTACTTCATATACCATGCAATAGGAAGAGTGGACTTACTGACAGTTGAGTTGTGACGGTTGAAGAACGCTGCGCTTCATCTGTGTTGGGAGAAAAAACAGCGACGGTCGACATTGCTACCAGTCAACATGCACCCCAAGGAATTGCTGCCCGCGGCCGACGAAATTGTGACTGCGGCCACGAACTTGAATTGCAAGGCGGCCATCCTCGATCCCGCCAACCCAAAGGAGTGTCTTGCATGGTCACCAGCCCGACCGGTTTCGATGCTCTGCACAAAACGATGACGACATTGTGAGGTAAAGATTGGATTTTGATTGTTTTTGCCCCGCAAAAACAACATAAGATCGTTATGAAGCAACTTTATAACTGGGACGATGTAGACGTAATACCCGGGACTTGGAAGCGTTATCTCGAGGTCGGGATGGCTGTCAGCAAGTACGGAAACTAGCAAGTCGATTATAAGGACACGATGATGATCGTCCTGCATGCCGAGGGGAGCGACCTCAAGAAGGTCACGAGGGCCCCTAAATCGGAGGCGGAGATAGTGGAGCTAAACGTTGAGGAATAACACTTCAAGAGGTGCACAGCGAGGCACAGCGGCGAGGAAGAAAATGAACGAGAGGTATATGAGCGGTGGGAACGACATCCAAAACGGTTGCAGAAGTTATGTAGTCCGTTTCTGCACGAGGATCAGGGGGTGATTCTTATCGGGAAGCCGCATGTTAGACTTGTGTGGGAGCTTCTGCGCGCTGGCTATCATGTTTTCGCATGCGACTCGTCGTCCAAAGATATTTCGTACTTGACGAAGGCCATCCAATTTCTTGGGAAGGACGTGAGAAACGATTGCACGGTTCAGAAACAGAAGACTGCGCACCGTCCGAACAGGGACATGTACCACAAGCTGGGCAAGAAGAGAAACAAGATGTGGGAATATCTGTTCCAAGACCAACCCAAGTCGTCATTCGAGCATGACTACATAGTTCGCAAAGCGATGGCACAGGAAGCGTATGGTGGCTACCATAAAGCGCAGGTGGGTGCGTTTGCGATGTTCGTGGCGAGATGTGAACAAATGAAGTTCACAGCAAATCAGGCAATGCTGACGTACGGTGAGTACAACAACATTGTCAAAACAACCGATGCATGGAATCCGATCGAGAGCGACGAGGAGACCAAAACATCGGACCTTAAAATCGAAGAGCGAGTGAAACGTTTGCGAGAGGGAATGCAAAGTGTGTCTGCATGCAGCGTGCCGAACGAGAATCCAGAAGAAGGTCGCACGAAATCAGGAGGTGCGAGCAGTCCGACGCGTGACGTGACCGACAGGGCGAGTTCCATTGAACAGATGCAAACGGATTCGCCTACGCCCCTCCAAGCACTTGAGAATACATTGATTCATGGCAATCGTCACGGATTCCAGGGGAGGTCTCGCACTCTTCGAGGAAACACGAAACACAACATGCTGGCAGACGCCGATAATGATGACTTGGCGGTTCCAGATGCCCTTCCAAGGCTGATGCTCGGTGATGATATTCCCGATCGCATTGTGCAGGTCAGTGAACGACCGTACTTCATTGAAGACAAGGTGCCAGAAACGACGCCTGAGAAGTGGAGGCATCACATTTTGTGGCATACAAACGTATTCGAGCCATGCATTTTCAAGAGGGAGTGGATGATGGCACTGCATCTAACATCAGGATGGAAAGTCAAACCCAGATTGACAGAAGTACCGTGGCTGAAAGTGACGAAGAGCGAAATCGTCTTCCGTGTCAGATGCGAAAACGAGGGAGCGGACGAGGTAACTGTTGAGGAGAAGGCTCAATTGCTATTCGATTCTCTGCACTCCAACAATTAGCTGGAACATAAACACAAGTTCTATGACTTGCCGTCAAGCCGGTCATACAAGACCATCGATTGGAAGATCGAACTTCATCTTGCGTGCCAAGGCATTGAGACAATCCAGTTGGGATGCTCACGGTTTGGGGGGCAGTCGACGATGCACTTAGCTGCCAGTGTTGGGGAAGCGATGAGTCAAACTGATGTCAAGATAATGGGGGTGGACAAGGGAACACGGAATGTCGACAAACATCTCTCGAACGTCGCATCGTACAGGCCTCCTCTAATAACTCAGGTGGAAAACTAGAGTGCATCGCAGATGGAGAGCCCCACTCCTTCCACGAACATGGCGGTTTCAGATGGAATGCAACAAAGTGGGTATGCAGAACGTGCGAGTGAGGTGCAAAAAGATTCCGATGAGATGATGAAAGTGCTGGATGAGGCGGAGAAGGACAGGAAGAGGAAGCTTGAGGGATCAACCACGTCCCAGACGGTTATTAATTGTATATCGTTAAGCGATGAAGGGGTAGACGTACATGTAGAGGGGTGGGATGACAATGAGGATGCAAGGGACAATGTCGATGAACAAAAGGGAGTGGATGACGGAGGTCAACCTGCGAGACGGTCGACAAGAGAAATAAATAAAAAACACCTGATTAATGTGTAGATATATGCAGAGGCTGAGTGTGTGAGTGCTTGTACGCTACTGAGATAAATATTTTCGGTGGGAGACGTGTGATATAATAATTGATTCCGCAGTGAATTGGAAAGGACATCAGATAACAGTGTCAATTATGATACATCTCTCTCTCTCTCTA